CAGGTCGAAGGCCAACCACGAAAGACGATTCTTGGTCTGACCATCTTCCGGTTCTGGGTGGCCGTCGCGCTGGGCGTCACTATCGTCGGCGTCGCCATCGCCGTCGGTTTGGCGCTGGGGTTGGCTAACCGGTACGTTTGAAACCGAAGAAAACGGGAAATTCTTCTACTCTTCTCTCTTTTCTCCAAACTCTACCTCCCCGTCCTGTCTCCCGCCCCTCCCGCTCGAAGACCGCTTCCGCGCCCTGTACGTCTCTCTATATCTATCCTCAGCCAGCAGCCCTGGCTGACGCGAAACGATTTTGCCTCCGTAGGCCCGAAGACACGCCCTCGGCATCGAGCAACAGCACACCGACGGCAGTGATACAGGAACTCGGCGTGCCCTCCGCGGCCCCGATCAACCCGTACTGCGAGACCTCTTCAACTCCCAAGAACACGACGGTGACGCCGTACGACGCCTCCGGCTCGCCGATCCGCTTCAACAACGACCAAGCCATGTCGTTTGACGTGCTCTGCAACACCTTCTGGCCGCAGCGCCAGGGCTTGAACCCTGAGCTGCGCGACATCCTCGTCATGACCGTCCCAGACATGTTGACCTGCATGACGCTCTGCGCGCAGTACAACCAGGGGTACAGCGACGCCGTCGGCGACGATGTCTACGTCGGAGGCGGCATCTGCGTGGGCGTCGCGCTGGTCAAGGGCATCGGGCAGTTCTGCTACCTGAAGAACGCGACGGGCATCAACGACACCACGGCCGCGGGCGGGTTCGACGTCGACTCGGCCGTGCTCACGGGGAACTGGGCGAACTTGACCTCCAACGAGCAGACGCTTGCTTTTGGAGGGAACTTGCCGGAGGTTGTGGCGAATACGACGACTGCGATTTAGTACAGCGGTCTGGATTGTAATGTGTATACGGGAGTTACGGGCGTCATCCCACGGTGTCTGGGACTTCGAATCTTTGAGCGTGGATATGATATGGATGAGCGTTGCTGTGGTGGAGCGTTTGCGATGCGAATGAAGCCTCGAGTGGTTCTATTGGAGGTCGTGAAGAACGAAGGTTATGGATGCTCTGCCAGCACTTTGAAGCTGTCAGTCTGGTCCAAGGCCATGCGATGGGGGCCCGAGATGCAGCTTGTCCGTTCTTCCTGGAACATAGCAGCGCATCCAGAGTTGGTGATATACATATACGTAAGAGACATACGCAGCAGAGTGCGCAGCTGCTCACGCAGCTGCCGGGACATATTTAACGGCCACGGATCGAATATAAGATGAAATCTGTCCATATCGATTGCTACACGTTACAACGGTTGTGATTTCTAACCACAGCACCTGAAGGTGGATTCATGACATCCGCTCGCTTCCTCATCTGCGTCGTCCATCCTTGGTATACAACCCACCTCCCAAACTGTCCCCGAGGAGATGATGACACAAAACATCTGAGACAAGAACAAAGAGAAATGCTAGTGAGAAACAACATGTCTAGATCGGAGGTCTCTTCCATTTTCTACCTCCGCTATCCGTACAATATTCACCAAGACGTCCCCAACCACACATGTAATCTGCCTGGCCGCTTCAAAGCCCAAGATCTAGTTGTCGCGCCACTCCTGGCCATTCTGAATACCGCTCGGCGCGCCATTGACACGTCCGTTGCTCCCGGACGCCTTGTTGGAGTCTGAGTCAGATTCGTCGTCATCCAGGACCCGGGCAAGCTCATCGGGGTCCTGCATCTTGGCATCGGGGTCGATGACGCCCTCCTCGAGCTCCTCGTCGCGGCGGCGGTTATCCCTATCGGTGTCGAGGACACCCTCGTCCGCGCTGACAGAGATGCCGCGGGCGCCCCACTTGGGCCGTCCGCCACGACGGGAATCATCGTTGCCACCGCCGAGGGCCGGGGCGCTCTCCTCGTCGTCGGAGTGCATGTCGACGCGCTTGCCAAAGATGCGGTTGAGGAGCCAGCTGCGGCGCATGTCGTCGGCGTCGACGATGCCGCCGTTGCGGAGCTTGACGCGCTGGCGGGTGTAGTAGACCCAGGCGAAGTCGACGTAGAGGGCGGTCTGGACGATGCCGAAGATGACAGAGACGGGGTTCGGGGCCTTGTCGTTGATGTCAAGCTCGCGGGTGATCCAGCCGACGAGGTAGAGGCCGCGGTAGGAGCCGAGAGTGACGAGGTAGAAGGAGTCGATGACGGTGGGGACGGTGGTCTGGCGCAGGAGCAGGAGCTGAGGGAGCACGCAGACGGATTCAAGGATCTGAGAGAAGTCCCAGAGCCACTGGAGAATTGTGTCAGCTGATATCTGGATGGGGGGTGGGAGATTGTGTGTCTACATACCACTCGGAAGCTCCAGTAGCTCTCCAGGATAAGCATAGCAAAGGGCGAGACCAGGAGCGCGCCGCCAAGGGCACCAGCGCCGACCTTCCAAGAGATCTCGCGCTCTCTGGATCGTGGGTAGACCCACTGCATAATGCCGATAATGTAAAATGAAGATGTTATGTAGAATATTTTGAATATAAAGTTCCATGCTGATTGCTCGGAAAATATGTCGAGATATCGCGTGCAGAAGACGAGAGCGTATAGCCCTTGCGTGATGAGGGAGACACCTGAGGAGCGGGGCTTGTTAGCACCTGGAGAATCTCCATGAAGTTTGTTCAGTAGACATACCCTCAGCACTCCTATTGCGATGTATCGCAAGCATCAAGATGCATTTTGAAAGGAGATGGGAGACATCTCCCAGTAGTCGGAACACCTGCCCACCCAGTCAGCGCGAATGTCCCCGGACGGCAGCTGCCCCTCCGTCGATCGGTCGACTACTCACGTTCCACGCAGTCATGTTATCGCTAGATGGGAAGTCGAGCTTCCACTAGGGTATTCGGGGTCTATCGAGGCGGGCGGCGATGGGAATCTTCGGATGCAGCGGTTGCGACACACAAACAAACAGACGGGACGGGAGGGAAAAGGCGCCGGTTCCGTTTCACATCACACGGGACGGACGGCCGTTAAGCAGGACGTAGGTGAGCCGTTGAAACAAAACGGCTGCCGCTGCTGCTTTGAGTCGTTTGCAAGCTAAGCTGGCGAGAGATTCGAGAGAACGTAGCTATGCGTGTTGGAGCGTAGGTAGCCTGGTCGTGGTGGGATGGATGTGGAGGGGAGAAAGCTGAAAGATGGCAGCAAGCAGTAAGGTTCCCTTTGCAGCTGGCGGAGGTGCAGGAGCAATGCGCCGAGTCGCCTTTCAAACCCCCCAAAGGCAGGTCGCAGAGCTCCAGCTGGCCTTATCAGCTCGAGCCTGAGCCTTATCCGTGCTGGGGAAAGAGGGTGACGACAGCCTGGGCCCCCAGCCACGTTGTACCACCTGCCAGCGCTGTGATTGGGCCGATTCTGCAGGGTCGCTTATGCCGGGTGCCCCCCAGTTGGGGTCGACAGCGCTAGAGCGACGCAGGCCGGCGGGTGACAGCGAAGCGGAAGCTGCGATTTTTGACTTTGATGAGGCTTCGGATGTTCTTGATATGCCTTGACAACTTAATCCTGCAGAGGCGAAAGCCTTCTGTTGCTGTTTTCTCATGTATTGGAATTGTATGGAGAACACGAGCTGTCCTACATGAGTGACGACGTCTACAAAGTTCCCATCCTTTTCTAGGTAGACCATCTCCGCGTGGGTACATCCCACTGTGGATTCGCTGCGTGGATTGCAAAGACCATGCCGTTTTGAGGGATGCGAGCTCAGAGGCGGCAGAAGAATGCCATTATTCAACTTGAGCATCCGGGTAGCTTAGCACGTCGTGTAGATAAGGTAATCAACAAAGGCCTTGGATGTTTGAATGCTCAAAAGCGTCAGGCACAAAACCAGCTGTGCCATCCCTAGCTTCAGTGCACTCCACAAGAACAACAGACTATCGTCTCAATCTCGTGCGTGCCCCTCCAAAAGTGTTTCGCAGGGTCAATAAAATAGGTCCCTCGAATGCCTGACGCGCGGCTGGCCTACCTGGGACATTTGCATCGCAACATGCATCGTCATCCACTGGTGTTGCCTGCGTGGCACGTCAACAGGCAGCAGCAGCAGTACAACTTTCTGTGAAAAGTCGTTCGCTGAGTCTTAGCAGTCTCACGTCTCAGTCTTTGAAGAATCCCCCTGAATTGCAAGATGCTGCCTTGGTCGGAACAACAATGCGCTGGCATAATTGAGGCTACGACATTGAAGGTTCGCTGAAGATCAGAACAGTGCTTGCAGCTACAGAATTGGAGATCGCCGTTACCGCGGGCGTGGTACGCCTACATAGCGGCATCTAGCATGATTGGAGTTGTATTGCAGAGTTGTCATCGACGGCTCGGCGCTTCTAGTGGGTCCCGGCCGCTTCGCCGGCCGACCTGCGCTAACAGAGTCCGTCTTGTCCTTCCCGCCTTTCCCGGGGGCCGGACCGATCTTGGCGACTAGCGGTAGCAATGAAGACTTGTGAGTTGAAGAGTGCAAGACGATAATCCTGGCAACGCCTCGATAACCCAGCGAGCTTCTCATACTGAGAAACCCTCAGCCGTGATAGGCGTACTTGTTGTAGCAGCTACAGCCTGCATATGCACTCGCTTTGGTACGACCAAAGCAAGGGTCAACTCCAGGGCCTCCAGGATGGGCTCGGGGTGAAGCATTTGATTCCTACGAAAGTAAAGAATAAAAGACCATTAGTGTCGCAGGATAGAGCTGATTCTGCAGCGAATGCCCCAATAAGTTTGTCTAATACGTGTTAATACCTTCAAACGAGGAGTCGCTAGATTTGCAGGGGAATTGCTTTTCTTCAGCTAGTGCGCTACAAGGCTTTACTGAATTGATGTCTTTGATCAAGTTTATTCCTGGCAATTTGGTCACTTTTGGTTTGCATATTGCTGTATGTAACGCGTAGCCCAGGAAAAATCAGCTCTAGTCTCACAACATCCAGCCCTCCTTTTTTTTTCTTGATTTCACTCTACACTTCAACAACACCATAATATCGACCATCATCTTCACGCACTTCGACATGGCTACCTCAGACAGACGTCTCGACTCTGCCGCGGACTTTGTTATCAGCTGCGGAACCGTGACCACCGACGTCGAGAAAAAGAAGGTGCTTGTCATACGCTGCCGCAACTCGGACGAACACTTGCTGCCCAAGGGTCGTAAAGACCTTAACGAAACTCTAGAGGACGCGGCCAAGCGGGAGACCTACGAGGAGACGGGCATAAGAGTGGATCTTCTGCCAGTCAATATCTCTACGCGAGCCACAACACCATCCTCAGTAGCCCCCAACGACCGCCCAACCCACGTCACCGAACCCATCGCCGTTGCTCAGCGCGTCTCAAACGGAGTTCTCAAGATCATATTCTGGTTCGTCGCGACTGCCGACTCTACCGTTCCGCGGGAGGAGGGAACGCAGAAGGAGGATGAAGATTTCGAGGTTAGCTGGGTGGACGTTGAGGAAGTCGGTGACCGTCTTTCCTTCCCTGATGATCAACGCATTGCCAGGGAGGCTTGTGCTGCGGTTTTTGGACCTGGATGAGTGGATTAGAGCAGAGACGCAGGGATGGGAGGAGCAGGAGTTGAAGAGCACATTGATCACGAGGACATGAACATCAAATGGAGATGAAGCTTGCTACTGTCTGCAAGCCGTCATTGTTTTGTGTGAATGTGGCCTTGATTCCATCGATGTGCTCGAGTTCTCATCAATCAGCCCCGATGATTCGCATCCTCACACCCTTGCCGACTCCGGAAACCACGATACCATCCCATCGGAAGACGGCCGAATTCAAACCTTGAATGGCCCGAACTTCGTCTCACACCGGCCGAGAACCCGGAGCGAGCATAACACCGTCCCATTGAAGCCTCCAACCGTCAAATTAGCACGGCAACACCGCCGCACGCAGCCACAGGCTCACAGCAAAAACAACGGCGGAAGAGTCGTCAGCATCGGGATGTGGGCGGGCCAACCCACCACAGCCGTCAATCTCACCCCAAAATAAGCAATGGAAATATCCGCATCTACTATGTAAGGTGGTGGTCGTCCTCCCGCACTAAACATATCGCGGGCGGTCCCTTGTCGGGGGACGGGCAGACAGAAAGCAGAAAGCGGGACTGACGGCAGTGCTAAAATGCTCTTAGCATCGCGGGATAATGACGCGGCCCAGCCGACGACGACGACGACGCCAATTCCAGTGTTCCAGGCGGGGGGACGACGGCACAACCCGCCCCACTAAAAGCCCGCTGGCTGTTGGTCGCAATTGCCGTCCTGGCCGTTTGTGGGGGGCGTGTGCAACGCAAAAATGGCAATGGTCACTCAATGGAAAGAAAGCTTGCCCGCGGCCTCCTAAGCTTGTTCACTCGTTGATTGCAGCAGCAGCCAGCACCTCCCTTGGTAGAGCAATGCCACTTTCGACAAGGCAGTGGACCGTGGTCGATTAGGTGTGTTTCCCCCGGGAAAGCGGGCGAGCTAACGGACTCTGGTGGTAAGGTGTCTTACGCAGCCCTGGCATCATTTCCACGTTTGTTTTCCTTCTCGTTCGTTCGCGGGGGCCCTGGCCTGACACGCCGCCGCCCCGTTGGCCCCCCTCCCCTCTCTGACCCGGGAAGACGCATCGGTTCCTTCGGGGGCTTGTTGGTACCAGCTAGTGCGGCGTACACGCACATCAGCGGCTATGAGGGTGGATGGCGTTGGGTTGGGGGAGGGGATATAGATACCTCGATGTGCCCCCCTCACGGGTAGTAAGGCACCATTTTTTTGGTTCTTTTGTATTGCACTGTTCTTGTTCAGCTGTAGATCCAACACATCTGCTTTTTTCTATTACACCCATTGTTCTTTGTGTGTTGGTGAACAAGAAGATCCCAATCTCACTCCCGAGCTTCCGTGCCGCAGGAAACTGGGGGCCGAATTTGCCGTGTTTCTTTCTTACGACAGCCGATGACGTTGGGCCCTGCCCGCGCCTCGAGGACATAAAACAAGCCAGCGAGTTCCGACGAAAAAGGGGCGCTTACCCTGCGAATTTTTCTTCTCGAAGAATAATTCTAGGTTTCTGGAGGATTTGAGTTCAGGAAAGGGAACGAAAAAGAATAGTCGAGACGGTCGGTGAAAATGCATTTGGGACGCCTCTTTACGACGATCGGCCTCGGCGCCGCACTGGTCCAAGCCACCCCGATCCAGGACCAGATCTCAAAGGCAACGGCTGCCACACCACGCTCCGCGTCTCCGGATCAGCCCGCCAAGCATTTCCACGAAGCCGAGTAAGTGACTACCGCCCGGTGGAAAAATTGACGCCCTTAACTAACACCCGACCACAGCTTCTCAGAGCACTACGACCCGCGCTTCGCCTCGGCGCCGCTCAACGAGACGGCCCAGCGCGCCGCCGTCAAGGTCCTGGTCCAGACCTACCTCTCCACCGTCCGCGACCTGGGCGTGCAGACCTGGCTCTCGCACAACGCGCTGCTGGGCTGGTGGTGGAACAAGCAGGTCCTGCCCTGGGACGCCCAGCCCACGGTGCAGCTGTCCGAGAACGGCATCCGCTTCCTGGCCGCCTACTACAACATGACCACCTGGTACTACAAGTACCCCGGCGTCCCCGGCGGCCGCGAGTTCCAGCTCGAGGTGAACCCCAACTACGTCCACGGCGCCGTCGACGACGAGGCCGCCAACACCATCGACGCCCGCTGGATCGACATGGAGAACGGCCTGTTCATCGACATCATGGCCGTGCGGTACGTCAAGGACCACCCCGAGGGCGAGAACGTGCTGGCGAGCAAGGACGGCCACGAGTTCAGGGATACGTACCTGTATCCGCTGCTCGAGACGACGTTTGAGGGCGTGAAGACGAAGATTCCGTATCAGTACAAGAGCATGCTGGTGGCCGAGTACGGGGAGGATGTTTTGATCAACAAGGAGATCAAGAAGTGAGTTTCAAATCTGGCGAGACCGGGTGAGCATATCGCTGACAACTTCTACAGCCACAAGTTCGTTGACAACGACATGGAGTGGGTACCGAATGAAGAGCTCTAAGGAGCACGGCGGAGTACGATTCACGTATTTTCGGGGAAGAGGTTTTGGCGTTGGATTATTATTGTCTCGATAAACAGTTCGCTACTTTCATGTACGGCGTTAGGGAATACCCAGGAATCTGACTAGCAAAACAAACACACACGCACATAGCGTATTTCCATCATCACGAATATCTTCCGCTGTTCGCACCTGGCAGGCCATTCTCTTCAATGTGCGCAGACAGTAGGGCCTCCTACTTACAACCTTCCCGTCTGCTGCACAATCCGGGGCTTCTCTTTCCCTTAGTTGACTTCGACCAGCGGCTTCTTCAGTCGCCACCTCGTACTCTTGGAATGAAAAGCCATATACGTAACAGGGGGCATTTGGTTTCAACCCTGCAGGCACCGATATCGTCTACTCCTGCTGTCCCTCTAGTTCTGCGTCCACTCACCTCTCTAGTTCAGTATACAGTCGGCTCTGTTATCATCTCTGTCGTCGTCGTCTCTATTGTCCTTATCGTACTTGTCTCTGCTGTCGTCTCTGCTGTCGTTTCTGCTGTCCTTGCCGTGGTTGTCTCTGTCGTCTGTCGTCCTCTCACCTCTCAGGCTCTTCGCCCTCTCGCCTCTCTGGTTCTTCTCCTCTCATGCCTCTGGTTATAGTTACCGCCACCTCTGTTATCCTTGTTCTGAGCATCTCTGTTGTATCTGTGATCTGTAGTCTCTGTTACCTGTCGTCCCTGTTGTCTGTCGTCCCTATTGTCTATCGTCCCTGTCGTGTGTCGTCTATGTCGTGTGTTGTCTGTCAGCGTCTCTGTCGTCGTCTCTGTCGCCTTCCTCTTTATGGAAATCACACCCAGTCGTCACCTTCCTTCCCGTGATCTATCTAGCCCTTCCGTCTATATAAACCCCCTCTGTCACCTAGCTAGCCGGCCACAACCTTCACACCTAAGTACACCACACAAACAACAAGATGGCCGACGACTCGGATCCGTACAGTGAACCAGGTGCCAACATGCCCGAGGAAACGATAGTTGAGCTCCACAACCAGTGGGATGCCGTTCTGGTTGTCACCAAAGACAACACCATTCGCAAGTTCCGGGTATGCTCGAACGTACTCAGCGCCGCATCGCCATACTTCGAGAGCCTCTTGGTCGTTCCTACCTTCTCAGAGGCTATCAAAGTCCAGAATGGCCAGCGCCCAGACATACACTTGGAGGAGAACCACTACCCAGATGCCATGGAGGTAATGCTAAGCATCCTTCACTACCGTATGCGGCGCCAGTGGGACATGGTGACTCCCGAAGAGCTCGCAACCATCGCCATATGCGCTGACCAGTATCGCTGCGTCGAGGCCCTCAAGGCCCAGATCGGACAGTGGCTCGTTGGGCAGCCGAAGTCCAACAAGGCTGACCCCGACGAGATTGGGTACTTGCTGGTAGCTCTTCAACGATTCGAGCACCCAGAAGAGTTCTCGAGAACGTTGGTCGCTGCTGTCATGAACATCCCTTTCTCCTTCGACTTCGGGTCTTGGGCTGCTGATCCAATTATTTCTGAGTTGGACGAGGACCTGAGAGGTAAGCACCGTCCCCCAAGCCAGATGTTTACACATAACCCTAACAGCTCAAAAGCGCGCATCCAGAAGAATATGGAAAACGTCAAAGCGACACTTACCAAGTTCTTGTATTCAGCGATTACGGACCTCACCTTCAACGATCAAGTGAGCATGATACATCGATGTAACACATGCGCTCTGGAGACTCGAACAAAACTCCCAGGATCCTGCACCAGAGCCGATTGCCCATCGAAGACGCGATGTTACTCTGGTGAACGTGTCAAGGAGTTCCTCAAGATGCTCCATAATAACTCTCTCTGGCCACCGCAAGAAGCGATAGAGAACTGCACCATCAGAAAGCTTGGTTCGCGCCTCCGAAACCTGCAGAAGACCGACGTTCACAGCTGCGATGCCGGCAGAGGGTGCGAACTTAGACGTATTATGGACTTATTGGAGGCAGAGGCGACGACTGTTATCGAGGGGGCCCAGTCAGGCTTGGAGACAACAGCGAAGACGACGGCGGAGACGGCGGACGACGCCCAGGACATGTAAGGGCAGGAAAGGGAAGGAGGGGGTGATTTGTGTATCGAACGGACTCTGGGGATTTATATCCTGGAACTGATATCGGGAGTCTGGAGTTTTTCTGCTTTTCTTGGAATTTTTACTAGCAATAGATCCTTTCTTGTCGTCCCTTATGTCGTCCCTTGTGTCGTCCCTTGTCGTCCCTCGTTGTCCCTTGTGTCGTCCCTCGTCGTCCATCGTCGTCCCTGTCGTCCCTTGTCGTCCCTTGTCGTCCCTTGTCGTCCCTCGTCGTCCCTTGTCGTCCTTCGTCGTCTCTTGTCGTCTTGTGGCGTCACTATAACCTCTATTCTTTGTCTACATTGTGACTGTTGTTGATATCGAGCATCGCCTCTGTCTTCTCTGCTGGATATTATTGTCGTCATCCTACTGCTACTGTCTCTACTAGGAACCATCCACATTGTTAACATTGTGGTTGTTTTCATAACCTCTAGGTTCTTAACAAATTGATAGTAAATGTAAAATCTCAGCTAGTTGTCTAGAAAACCGCGAATAGACAAACTAAAAAATCAGTTTAATGGATAGATCCATGAATGCCCCGTTTCAAGAACTTAACCGTGTAGTAAATGAATTTCTGCGAGCGAAGTAAAGCCTTACGGATAGCGCCACAGCTAAAACTCAAGACGCGCTCTGGAGTTGGGCCGTAGCTTCTCTTCAGGGAAGGGATGGATGTACGGTTTTCGGTCGAGGCTATTCATGGTCGAAATGCTTCTGCAACACCGAACAGATTTCCATCACTGTGCTATATGCTCAAAAAAACAAGCACTCTTGCTCCGCCCCTCTCCGTCTTTACTTATAGTTTCAACCAGCAATCCACTACAACTTTCAAATACTACTACTTCCAGAACCATCTCCACGAAAGGATATTTGGCGGTTATGGAGGGTTTGATGATTCACGTAATCAATGACTCTTCGGGGACCACTGAATCTGCCCCAGTATGCCCTGGAGTCGTCCGCTGTGTTTCGCCACGACTCGGAAGATCGTCGAGGAGACTGAGGAATCGACTGCGCCCAGCTAGGTCTGCAACCAAAGGACGTTACTTTCCTACTGTTAATTGCGCATTTCCCGGACAAAGGCAGCAAGCACCTCAGTGTCGACAGACTCTGTGGGATCGCACAATGCAGTCAGGATCTCGGATTCAGACGTCCGCTTGCTCCTTGGATCTCTACGTGGTTCATGCGTCACGCATACAACTTAGCCAGGGCAGGGTTTCCCGATCATGGGCAGCGTGGATCTCGAAGCGTCCCAAGAGTTCATGCAGCTTTGCGACGAGGGCATACGCAATTTGACCATCAACGAGGTCGAGTCGTGGGAATGGGACACGTGGACGAAGAGGCTGCCTAGCGGAATCCGACAGACCATGGCCAACAAGATCAGGTTTGACGTTCATGCCATCCACTCCGACATACAACTCTCTAAGGTCCCCTGCAGGAGGACGACCAGGTGTACAGAGCACGCGCTTTCTGCTTAAGGGCCTGCGGACGTAGGCTCGAGCAGCAGCGGAACGACGAGGAGCACCGAGCTCTATGCGACAGCGACGAGGTGAAGCGGGAGATGTGCACCAAGCCGAATCGCGTGAGCGAGTACATCGAACTGTTCCAGAGCCGCGGCCTGTGGGACGTTGCCGACATGACTGATAAACTTACCATTGGGGGGGGGGGGGGCTCTTTCGCGATACATGCAATGATCGACGAGGAGTTGGCTCATAAGTGTATGGGTCGCGCGGAGTGTCCCTTGATGGAAGAGCTGCGTGAGGGAATCGATGACATGTTGGAGAATATTCCCAAGTTGAAGTTGGAGTATTACGCCCCTTGAGCTCCTTGAGCTCTGTGAGATAGCACAAACTGCTGTGCGAGTCCGACAGCTGTACACAGAGAAATTGACTGAGGAATTGGAGTTGGAACAATGATGCTTCTGGAAAGGCCCACAAGGTCAAATTGTGGGAGGCTCTTCAGGACATCAGATGAAGTTGACGACGCACGGACCACACACCAGGGTGACAGGGATCTTCAGCGCAAGGGGAGGCGCGCGTCACGCCTGGCCAAAGTGCACGACGCGCCCCTCCACCTGCCTCATGTAGAGTTGCTCTGGCTTGACGTTCAAGCTTTCAATTCAAGCATCACAACCCTGACTTGACGTCGGACTCGTCTCTGATGAGTAGTATTCCACTCCCGATTCATTGTATCTGCGCCCAAGCGCTTTAATCGCAGCCCCAATCCTCCACCATGACGAGTAAGACCTTGAACCGACGTGAATCGCCCCGCCGACGATGCTAACATCAGACAGCTCGAGCGGAACGCATGCAACAGCGCATGCGCGGTGCGGGGTGAGTTTTGCCTTGGACATCGCTGCTGGGAGATGGGACTGACGATAAAAAGACATGGCCAAGTCGAGGATGTCTCATTTCAATTGGACTTCGGCGACGACCTCACGAGCGAAATCGATACCCAGACGAGCCCGGAGCAGCCGCCACCCCGAACAACGCCGACCCCGAACACATCTGCGAAGCGAAGGAAACTGGACACCGATGCCGCGCGATCTCTCTTGCCTGCACCGGCCGGTATCAGTCAAGCGCGACAGTCACCCGGCAAACCAGAAACCCAAGAATTGGAGGAGGGGTCGTCGATAGAATCTGCGCAGCCCGCAGCGGAGCAGCCAAACACAAGTCCGACTACAATCATAGAGGAAGAAGACCCGGACACTGTCGAGTCTTTGCCGCCCCCGAGGCCGGTCATACCCGCGCCACCGATCTCGCCCGTGAACCGGAGGGCCGCAGCGGCCAATACTGAAGTCGAGGAGAGTCCTGCCGATGCACCAGGAAGCGGCCGACGCCGTAAGATCACGAGCAGTGCTTTAGCTTCGAGCGCTAGATTACAGGATGCTTTGTCTCCCGGAGATAACGAAACCGAGACGGTACCCATTTCATCACCTCTCGTCAGCAAAGTTCGAAGGACCACGATCGGTACGCGCAGGTCGACAAGCAGCCGAGGGAGCCGCAACTCTGGTGCATCTGTGGCTGAAGATGTAGACGAGTTATCACCTGATGGTGCCGGAAAGTCTGGTGGAAGGACTCTGTCTCCTGAATTATCATCACGGCACGAAACACAAGCAGAAGAATCCGTGGCACACTCCGATGAACCGACAGAAGAGCTGCAACCCGAGCCTGAGCCGGAGACTGAAGTACGTTCGGAGCCAGAACCTGAACCCGAGCCGGAATCGCTAGTAGAGGAACAGGAGCCGAGTCAGGATCCAGATGAGAGTGTGGCTGAAGAGGTGGACGCGAACGAGGCGGCACAACGACTGGGGCGCAAGCGGCCCCGCAGAAGCCCAAGAGGGCCGTCTGCCGAGCAGGACTCTACTCTTGTAGATGAGGATAATGAAGACCCCCTGCCCAAAAGGCGGAAGAAACAGACCCACGCCAGTCCGGCAAAACAGAGACAAGGAAGGCCAAAGGCAGCTTCGAAAACCAAGAGTCCGCCCAAAGCCGCCTCCAAAGGGAGGAAGAAGAAAGGTTCAGATGCGCCAGGAGGCGATGAGACTGTTGCGATTCCAGTACAACGGTTTACGACGAAGAAGACCCAACCTGAAGGCGAGGATGACGACGCAGACATTCTCAATTCCGATATCCCCTTCACCAGCCGTGGCGGAGTAAACACTGTGGATGTGTTGACCACCATGTGTGAGGAGGTCCTCGGGACGAGTCTGGAAACCCTTAAGGAGGGCATGCGCAATGCAGAAGACGCAGCCACAAAGAAAGAGCGTAGGGTGCAGATGCGAGCTCTGGAAGCTTACCAGGAAGAGTTGCGCAACCGGTTTCTCCAACACGTGGGTTATGATCTCCAAGGTGTGGTTGCCACAACTGACCCGTTCTAGACCATTCTCCTCGACACACTCCACAACTTGCGCAAGCGGGTACGCAGTGTCCAAAAGGAGAGAATCACCCTTCGGGACGAAATCATGCGCATCCGTGCCGAACGGGACCAGGTGGCTGTCCGGAAGGATTCCGTCAGAATTAAGCACGACAAGGTCAAAGAGGAAGCTCTGGTCAGCAACCCCTCCTCCACGAAGCGCAAGCTATCTCTCAGCCTTACAGTTGACTAACGGGCGTCCCACAGAACCAATTGAGCTTATCTTCGCAGATGCATGACATCGACCTGGCGGTAGAGCGAGGTCGTGCGGCGCCTGAGCTCGGCCCAGCCGAGAAGAAGACGGCGGAATTGGCGAACCTCGAGATTCTGATATCGAGGATTACAGACCAGGCCTGTACGCAGAGCGACACAGGGGGGACGCTGAAGCAGATCAAAGACTTCAATGCATTCCTAGAACGCGCCGCGGTGGCGTTGGAGGGCAGATAGGGAAGACCTGGGGAAGAGGCAGTGGGAACGGGCCTCAGCCCACGTCATGTCCGATGTTGACGATGCTTGAGGGTGTTCATGTAGGTACGGTTGCTTTGGTGTTGGGGGTTGTTTTGACGGGTGGTTTTGGCCAGGGATACCCAGGGCAGTCGGCATTCGGCTCGCTCAATTAGTGACGACCAAAAGACTTAGGACCAGGAATGTTGCGGCTTGCGCTCATTACGATTGACAGCGCTCTGTGGTGCGAACCTTATTTTACCCCGTGTGGCTTGCAACCCGCCCCCAAAAGAGGGAAAAGTAGCCAGATTAAAGACCGTGAGCACAAATTGAAATACAACGCCGCTCTTTCGCGCTGGCCGAATTGCAACTTGCAACAACTGAACTGCAAAGGGCTGAGTCGCAGGCTCGCTCTGGACCCTCTCGACCTTCCGAATTCTGAAAGATGCCCTCTATTTTTGTCTGGATGTGCCGCATTCTGCATGGTTCTCTTTTGACGTCACTAGCCTCATTCGAGGCGCAGTTCCACCTTTCGGCTGTTGCCCTTTAATTTTTTTTCGTCCCAATTTCCCTGACAACTGAGTCGGGGTGGCCGTGTGTGTTGTGTCATGGGAAGTGGAAGGTCAAGGCAAGGTGAGCAGAAGGTGGGAAAACAGCTCTCTCACAGCGTGGTCCCAGGCCCCACTCTCCGCATGTGGCGGTCGCCGGCATCTTCCAGCGTGTGCTGTCGTTATTACTCTTTTTCTCTGTTAGTGTATTGTTCCCGCCCGCAGCAAGCTGCGCGTCGTCTCGTGTCATGGCCCACGACGACTGGGTGATGTACCTTTCCCTCCCACCTACCAGCGCAGCTCTGGCTATCTTAACTCTCATCCGGAAGTACGGCACTTGAAGCTCGACGGGCCCATGGGTCCGTCATCAAAGTTCCCTCCCCAACCCACCACACAAGGCGAAGCCGCCTTACACGCCCCCTTCGCCCTCTTCCCACCCTGAACCCTGACTGGCTGCAACGACGGGAAAACTGGATTCTTGCTCTGGGATGTCGGGTGATGATTGGCGCCGGTGATGTTCCCTGGTTTGCCGTTTTACTTCCGATGAAGGGGGCTTACCGCAGGACCTTACCAAGTTGCTGCGGGTGGTTGGTGGAGGGGATGCGATGGAGGGGAGAAGGGGGGGCGTGGATGAGGCAGGACAGGAGGCAATGTGTTAGGGACCCTCGGCCACCGATAGCTTTTACCTGCTTCAGCTGAGCCATGGAGCCAGGGGGAAGGGGGGTGTTGATGGAGAACATGGCACGGGGAGAGAGGTCGGCTTGTTGTTGGTGTGTGCTGTGTGCCTTGTGAAGGATGTGTGAGTCGAGTACATAAAGACGCGGGACCAGACTGTCTTCTCTACTGCTCCATCTTCTTGTTGCTTAACACAACTACCACTCTCTCGATACCACCCACAAACTTCCACTCAACTCTACACCTCTTCAACCCACAAACCCCATCATCAAAATGCCCGCCCCCGAGGTTCCCCAGCAGCAGGCCCCCATGGAGGTCCCCTCTGAGAACGGTATCGTCTCTCAGCAGCCCGTAAGTTCCAGATCTAAGCAATGATCATAATGAACGTATGCTGACCAAATAACAAACAGTCCGCCGAGCCCCAGCCCGAGATGTCCCTCCGTGGTGGTGAGGAGGCCGGATGCGAGATCTGCTGCGGTCTCTGCGGCTGCGAGGAGTCTTGCTGCTAGACGAGTTCATGACCTCATACAACGACAATGACCGATTGAGAGGGGAGAGGCAATGATTTGAGACAAACATGATTACCCCATTTTACCATCTTGTCTCATGGTCGATCTCTCCCCGTGGCGTTTGGCGAATGCTCCCTAACGGAGTATGAATGATTTATGGGCTATATAATATAACCATCAAAAAAATTGAACATATATCCAAACATTCGAAAGATTTCCATGTTGCCAAGCTTGTTTCTACAAATCGACTGTGGTCAAAATGTCTTGGGTCTGAAGCGAAATTCCAGCGAAGCGGCTGTCCCTGGGCTGCCAAGTGTGTGCCAAGAGATCTACCCGCAAAGCTTGGCGTGCAGTGGCCTCTCGGCGCCGGGAGGGCTGAGTGGTGCAGAACACTTGACGTGCCCAGAAGTTCTGGGCTCTTCGGGGGAGGCAAGGCATCGTGTTAGCCGCTGGTAGTAGGGAGGCCAACCGCAACTGGTTGATCAATGGATTCAGCCTGGGTTAGCTTGTCCCCTTGGTCGCAGCACCCTGTCATCTCCTGCATCATTCTCCGACCAGACCAGACAGACCGCTCTTCGTTTAATCGTCGTCATCGGGTCCCCGGCGGTGCGGTCAGACTTTTAGTCTCCTGCTCGCCCGTCAAGTTACGGGAAAGAATGGAAAGCTGTTTAGAGTTTCCGTTGTCGCTTCCGTCGTGCCGCGCCTCTTCATGCGACCTTTTCCTCCCCTTCTTCTTCATTTCGTCTCATCCCCTGCTTATTTGCAACCTTTCAGCTCGTGAGAGCGAGGTATTTTTCTTTTCCCGTTCTTCACCTGGGTTCCGGGTCCTGGTTGGCTGGTTGGTCTTGCAAATTGGACGAATACACCGGGGAGAAAAGGATGCGTTCCGCAAACCCGCGCGCTCTAAAGTTGAGCGAAACGCGAACTCTTACCTTATTCGTACACAGAGGCGGTTTATTCAACCCCCTTCCCGTGCAGTTACTTACTCAGTGCGCCCTTGCTAGGTGTGCAATTGCCGTGACGTGGTGGTGATACAGTGACACTTCGGACCGGGAGCTGAATCCCTGGCGATGAGCTTTTTTTCTCTTCCATTTCTACGGATTGAGGTTCTGAGTTTCCCTGCTTTCTGGGGCGGGAGGCGGTTGAGATGGGATGATTTGGGGGGGTTGAGTTGGAACTTGGCGGCGCAGTCCCTGCTGAGGGAATTACAGCGGGGCGTTCTGGCCTGTTCGCCATGTTTCGTTCTCGGGTGTGTGCGAGGTTGATGAAGTCACATTACGAAATGCCACAGGGCCGATCACGATCGGTGTAGTCGTGGTAGATATTCGGTCTGATGACAGCCGCAAACGCCAAAAGATGGGTAATCGAAAGACGGAAACGAGAGACTTGCGGATTCGTGAGATTGGGAGATCGTAGCCTCCAAGAGGGGCTTCTTTTGTGCATTTGTAGATGCTCTTCTAGTAGTACAACGTGAAATCTATAGCCAACATGGCAAACATCCATCATAAGGCTGATCGATAGGATTATAGTCCGAGTTGGCAACCGCTTTTGTACAATTACAACACACGCCGGCTTCCTCCATGACCGAGACAAGGCAACATCCTGCACCGGTCTCGACGAGCCTTATTTTCCTCCGAAAGCTCCCGTGATGCGGTCCATGACGGTCGCCTTGCCCTCCGCCTTGCGCTGCTGCTTCTCCTTCTCCTGCTCGTCCCACAGCTTCTGCACGTTCTTGGCAACCTCCGCCTTGGCCTGCAGATCCGCCCGCAGCGCCGCCTCCTCGACCGCGCGCTCCTCTTCTGGCAGCTGCTCCAGCTTCTCCTTCCACGATTTCTCGAGATCTGGCCGAGGCTGGATGGCAGGAGCCGCCTCGACGGCGGCGGGTATTGAGAGATCGAACTTGGGGACCGGCAGGCCCTCCTGCTTAGCCGCCTCGATGGCCTTTTCTTGCTCGACCATGCGCTGGTAGAGCTTGTCGGCGTGCATCTGGATGTCTTCTTCGACCTGCGCCGGGCGGTTGTAGACGGATTGGTAGCCCAGGGCTTTAAGGAATCTCTGTGCGGGAGCGTAGTGTTAGAATGACCTGCGCAATTTTGTTTCTGTAGTCGCGACGGTTAGAGAGAAAGTAAACGTACCGTTTGCATGGTATAGCACTTCTCGAACCGCTGCACCTGGTGCCTGCACATCTGCATCCTGTCCTCCCAGGAGCCGCTCTTCATGCAGTTCACCCACTCCTCCTGCTGCAGCGCGCAGTTCTCCAGCGCCGCCCGGCCGATGTTGTGCTTGCGCTCCTTGTACCCGTCCAGCACGTCCATCAGCTTCTCGTGGTCCGTCTTGCTCTCGGCCTCGATCTCGGCGTACGGCCGGTACGTCTTCCACAGGTGCGCGTACCGTCCATCCTGGAAGAGGCTCTCCTTGGGCACTTTTGGTCTCGAGTCTGCTGTCGTGTCGACACCGTTGTGTTGTGATGTTTGTGATGTTGTTGCTGTTGCTGCTTCTACTGCTGCTGCTGCTTTTGTTGCCGCGGCGGCCGCTGCCTGTTCCGCTTCTTGGATCTGTTGCTGGATCTTGACGGGGGATTCGCGCTCGAGGAACTCGCGGAGCTTGGGGTCCAGGGACTTGAGAGGGTCCGAGGTGGTGGTGCTGGAGCCGAACCAGCCGTCGAACCAGCCCATTATGAATGAGGGCCTCTGAGACAAGGAAGATGTCGAGGAGAGAGGGGGCGGAAGGGGAGGGGTATCTTGGGGAGCTTCGGAGGGGAGGAGGGGTGTCGCAAACTGAAGCTCTTCGAGAATTTCCAGGCGGGATTTGGTGATCCAATCAGATGCTCAGAAAGACACGAATGGAAGGTGTCAATTGAAGATTGCGCACTGTACGAAGCACTGTATTGTGAGCTTAATTATATCGAATTCTATTTGTTGAGCTACCGCTATGGCGCTACTGGAAGCTGGTCGCGAGATAGCAGCAGTCTTATCATCTCATGTAAGTGAAAGCCAGGCCAACATCACAACATCCGGGGATCATTTTGGTTTGGGAGGTTTTGGTGTGCATAAGGTTACTCATAATCGTATGCCGCTGTTCGGTCTATACCTCTGCCACTATCAGGATTTCTGCTGTTGACGTTGGGTAAACGGGGACCAGGACAGGTGGACCAGAAGCCGGCCACAGGTAACTCAAATATCACGTCACAAAGGCCACGGACAAGACAGCTGTACTTCCAATCCCTAATCATTTTTCGTTCATTCGACCTGAGGCACATCGTAGTTTTCCGTTCCCGCAAAAATCACAAGCCCATCGTGTGCCCGGGTCACCCAGAGAAACATAACCTCTAGTTCACGACCACGTAGCTGTTTGGCTGATCGAATTCATTTTGGTCTTGATTCTGCATCTATAACACAATCATTGTGGATGCAGTTTTCCCTGATGACCTCCCATCCGGTATGAAATGAATAACCCACACCGCAGTCACGCCGTAAATGCCAATGAGCCGATTTAGAACTTGGAGAACTTCTTGACAGCCTTGCCAGTGCGGGGAAGGACACGCAGGACGTTGAAGCGGACCTAGTGGCCATATTAGCAACCGTATTCCATACTATGGTCTTGTCTCCGAGAGACCGTGGGGGTTGGTCGTAACATACAGTCTTGGACAGAGGTCTGCACTGGCCAACGGTGACCTGGTCACCCTCCTCGACACGGAAAGCGGGGGAAACGTGGGCAGCGAGGTTCTTGTGGCGCTTCTCGTAACGGGCGTACTTGGGGATGAAGTGGAGGTACTCGCGGCGGATGATGAGGGTGCGGTGCATCTTGGTGGAAACGACAGTACCGGTCAAGATACGGCCACGGATGGAGACCTGGCCGGTGAAGGGGCACTTCTTGTCTGTAAGACGCGCCAACGTTAGCAATCGTGTTTCTGGTGGTGCTGCTTGTGTGCATGTTCGTAGAATCCAGCGCGCGGCGTCGGTGTCGGTGTCTCCAATTCTGAATTCCTCCTCTTCCCCTCGAGTGCCAAAACTCTTTTTCGATGTTCTCGAGTGTCGCGAAATCCCATGTCGAAAATTTCCGTTTGCCGTGTCGCGTGCGCCAATATTCCCACCACATCATTCGCAGTCGGTGCTCGCAAACGTACCGATGTAGCTGCCCTCAATGGCAGTCTTGGGGGTGCGGAAACCCAGGCCGACGTCCTTGTACCATCTGCGGCCGCTCTTGCCAGGGCGAGCAGACTTCGCCTTGACCTTCTGGTTGAGGAAGATACCCTTCTGCTTCTGGAAAGCCCTCTCGGACTGGACGGTCAACTCGGTAGCCATCTTGACGTCGTGATGCGGTCGCGGGTCGACTGGGCGGGTGGGTGCTGTTTGGGTTAGAAGTCGAGGTGCTGAACCTTGCGATTTTTTTGGTCAGACTCAAAGTCGGATTGGATTGGCACGCACGAGCAAACTGATTAGGGCTTGCAACTGTGGGCTGTGGGTGTGGCTCCTTCCCTTTTTTTTTCGGGAAGCGAGGGCGGTGTGTGGCTGGTGCCTGCGGTCCAGCCACGGCGAGCTGTGACCTGCCAAAGAGTGGGGCGCAGAGGAAGAATCGACGTCCCGAGGCGGCGACAGCCGACACCACAGCAACCAGAGGCCCCCGAACGCGGTCTGTTGACATCATTCCTCAGCAGCCAATGAGAGGCCCGGTCAGAAGTAAACACCGACCCATGCAGCCCACCACCCGTGCTTGGGGTGTGTTAGGGGACTTTGAGGAACTTGGACATTCACGCCACCAACAATCGCGTTGCTCTTTAAGACGTGACATGTGCACGTCTAGCCCTCCCACTTGAAGCCTCACAGTCAAATCGCCACACCGATATTCAAGATGGCTTCATTCGGCGACGCGACCATGCCTTCCACGCGGCGGACGCGCAAGTCCATCGGCGCACCGACGACGTCGAGGAAGGGAACCGACAAGGAGAATGCGACCATTGACGTCGGCACCACACTTGCAGAGAGTCGTAAGAAGTCGCGAAGCAAGAGCATTGGCCCCGGCGGCCTAGACGCCCTCAAAAATGCAAATGGCAACCGCAGAGCAGTGAGAATGCTCGTGTTTTGGTCTTGTGCACGCCCGGCTAACGTTCGCAGTCCCTCGCCGTGCCGTCACGGCCCCCGCCGCGATCGATTTTGAAGCCCACGATGCCGCTTCTGCCCGAGATCCCACCACACCGCAAGCGCAACGCAGACCTTATCGACCTGGGACCGCCCCGGGCCAGCACCCCCACGAACACATCCACCGGCAACTCCACCGGCAGCTCGTCTGGTTCTAAGATTGCCTTGCGCACGGAGGAAGAGCAGCAAGCCGCATCTAGAGAACGAGAGGAGCGAGAGCGCAGAGATGCGCGACGCAAGTCGCTCGCCAACCGGAGAGTATCATTCGCCGCCGAGGCGACTCTTCACACATTCCACGAGATTGAGTTCAACCAAGACTCAACAGCGTCAACAGACTCGACGCGACGTGCATCTAGCGCAAATGGAAAGGGATCTGATCGGGCGTCCACGCCGCAAGAGCAGGTGGACGAGATAGTTCCTGAGTCACCAGAGAACCAGAGAGAGCTCCACCAGAAGAAGCGCAGGCGTAGTTCCACCGCAAATCTGATGGACTTCACCGACGATGAGAACACGGCCGCATCCGGGTTCAGCTCGGATTCTGAGCCTGCTGATGCGGTAGAGGAGGTGGATGGAGATGAAGAGGTCGAGGACTCGGACTCCAACAGCGATTCTTCGGATGACGATGGCACGATGATGACCATCGACGACAATGAGGTCACTGGCGCATCAGTCATGTCTGGTCGTACGGTCGCATCGGATGACGAGAACGATACCCTGGATGAGGCTCTGAGGATGGCTGCGCGACAAGCAGGAACTCAACGACTTGGCTCCGACGATGACGAAGAGGATGAAGAAGTCATTCCTTCCTTCGGCTGGATCAAGAAGAAGCCACAGGACGAGGGTGCCAAGGACCAGGAGAACGCCCCTCCCCCGCCTGCGCGCAACAGTCCTCCCGAAGACGAAGACGACGATGACATGGATATGGATATGGACATCACCTCAGCAGTTGGTGGCATTATGAAAGATAAGACCTCTCAGAGTGCTTTTGACCCCAACGAGGACATGTCGATGGATGTCACACGTGCTATCGGTGGTATTCTTTCTCGAGTCAACCAACAAGCCGTCGAGCCGAGCCAGGAAGACCAAACCATGGAGTTTACTACCGCCGTTGGAGGTATCCAAAAACAGAATCCCAACGACACCCTGTTCGATGAGGGTGAAGATGAGGACATGTCTATGGAGTTTACAACTGCCATTGGCGGTCTTCTGCCGTCCCAGGCCAAGAGAGACACCTCCCAGAAGCGTCGCAGGACCATGACTACGCGCGACAACTCGGTCATGGACGAGTCAACAATGGACATGGACATGACTGTTGCCATGGGTGGCATCCTCCCTGCGGCTGATAAGACGCTTCATGGTGATGAGACCTTGGGTATGGACATGACTGTTGGACTGGGCCGGATCATGTCATCGCCGGACAAGCCGATGGAAGAAGATGACGCTACAGGGGGCATGGACATGACCGTTGGCGTTGGGAAGATTCTTGGCGCTGCTACCGCTTCTCCGGAGAAGGATGAGCCTACTATGGACATGGATATCACCACAGCTGTTGGAGGTATTCTGCCTACTTCTGAGGCGGCTGAAGCAGAGGATGCCACGATGGGCATGGACATGACCACCGCTGTTGGAGGCATCATCGGAGGACCTCAATCACCAGAGGCCCGGATTGCCGCCAAGAAGCTCATGGAGGAGGAGGTCGACAAGCCCGACACGCCCTCCAAGACCATGTCCGTGAAGCCAGCATCGCCTGCAAAGAAGCTTGCTGCGTCCGTCAAGAAGAACGCCCCGGCAGACAGCCCCGGTTTCAACCCGTTCCAAGGCAGAAGCCTCCGCAACAGCATGCCTCGTGCGAGCCTCTTTGGCGAGTCGCCAGCCAGAAGTCCTTCCAAAAGCCCAGAGAGGAGTACCAGGACACCCAGCCCACCGAAGTCTGCAGCGCCACCACCAGTGGCCACGACTCCGTTGGACAGCTCGCCAGTCAAGACACCCCAGTCTTCCAAGAAGCGAGGACGGCCCAAGTCACCGACCAAGTCGCTCCCCAAGTCTGCTTCAAAATCACCAACGAGAAAGCCCGCGACACCATCACTTGAAAATACTGCCAACCGTTTGAACGTCTTTCAGCAAGATCCAGCAACTGGAGCAAGGACGCCCACTGTTGTTCTCACTCCTCAACCCCGCAGGCATTCTGGTGTCGGCGCAGACAAGCCTGGGCTGGGATCACCCCGCGTTGCTGCTATTCTTGACCGACGAGGATCTCTTGGCGAAGCCGCCCAGCAGTTCGTACCCGGAAAGACCCGCGGAGTCACCTTTGGGGATCCAAAGGTCATTGAGATTGAAGTCGACAGAGACCGCCAAGATGAAGAAGACAAAGAGAACGGCCGTACAATCCTCGAGCGCGAGGCGGATGGCGAAAATGAGAAGGACGCAACGCTCAACCTTAGGGAGATGATTGACAGCTTGAGCCCGAAGAAGAAGCGCCTCCAGGGTCGCAAGAGTCTCCACGTTGGAAGCGCCAAGGGCCTGCTTGGCAAACGTCCTGCCGAGCTTGACGACGAGGAGGAGCGCGAAGACAACGACGGCGTCAAGAGACTCAAGGGACACCAAGGAAGTCCTGTGAAAAACGTCAAGTTGGCCCAGCCCCCTAGCAAGGCCGAGACTACTGGTCGCAGATTGACTCGTTCTTCCCAACGCTTCTTGGACGAAGACACGACAACTAAGGCAACCCCGACACATTCCGAGTCGCCATTGAAGAGTGGGAGCAAGGCTAAGTCTCCTCACGGACAAGGACGCTTCAGAGATGTTGAGGATGATACCGCCACTCATCCCATGAACCTCGATGGCTCGCCTGTCCGACCCGACAATGAGCTCATGAACGACGAGTCGGAGGAGCGCATTCATCTCCAGGACTTCCTCAACATGACTTCCATCCGCTTCATGGAGTTGACGACGACAAAGCGGAGGCATACTCAAGCACCAGACATGTTTAGAGAAATGGGTGGGAAAGAGGACTTGTCTTTGGAGCGTTGTGTGGTGGCCGGCGCTTGCACGGTGCCCATGCTGGAACTTTACCAACACTCTTGCCGCGAACTGAAGAAGTACATCTCCGAGGGACGCAGAATCGTTCGAGAGATTGAGTCCGAGACCTTTGAGGAGAATCCGCCTCTCTTCCGAGAGTACATGTCCGCCTCTCCCGACTTCAAGAATATCCTCGACAACCAGTTCAAGAACGGCAAGACCCATGCCCGTCTTGAGAGCAAGGCCATGTGGTACGAGTGGCGAATGAAGCTTCAGGAGGGTCTCAAGGAGGGGCTTATCAGGATTGCCGAGGGCATGAAAACCGATGAGAAGGTTCTCCAGCAGCAACAAAAGCTGCTCGCCTCTACCCTTCCTGCGATCGTTTCCCGCTTCACCGAACTTGAGCAAGAGTACAGCAACCTGCAGGCCGTCGCCAATGAACTGGCGGACTGCGACCCAGAGGAACTCGAGACCGCCAGGGCTGATCTCGCCGAGGTCGAAAGCGACGTTCAGGAAAAGACTCAACTCATTGCCGAGCTCCGACAAGAACTCGAGGATGCCGAGCGTGGTGTTGAGGCCCTCACGCAGGAGAAGCAGCAGTGCCACGAGGACATCAAGGAAGCGGAGAAGATTCGCGAGGAGTGCCGAGGCTGGTCGACAGGTGAAATCAGTGCACTCAAGGGTATGTGAAACGTGGATCTCGTATCTTTTGCTTAGCTAACTTGAACCCAGGACGAGTCGATGCCCTGGAGAAGCAGCACGGTTGGGCTGTCACCGGCGTTTCCGGCAGCCAAATCTCCATGACGTACCTCCGCGAGATTGAGATCGTGTTCGACATTGCATCCTTCCAGCCCCGGAAGAAGAACGCGAGGATCGACCTGTGGTACATTGCCGCGAATCGCGCATCCAAACCCGTGCCGTCAACGCCGGAGAAGGAGTTTTTCCTGGAATGCATTCGGGACCACATTCGTGGCCTGCCGCAGAGCCGCACTAAAATTGCGGATCTCCTCCACATGGTTCGCAATGCGTGGGATAAGGCTAATTCCACCTCCAACCATGTCCGTCGGCTGAACATCACCTTCCCGACCACCGTGGCGAGAGTTTCTGACTCGTCTATCGCGGTCAAGTCTTCACTCCTCATGGCGCCGCTGGAGACCAAGGTGGAGATTGCTCTCGAGATCAGGGGAGCGAGCAAGCCTGACGGCGTCGATTTCTCGCTTCACCCTGAGGCGACAGTCGTGTACGGGGAGCATTTCAACACCCCAAAGATTGCGGAGTTCTTGTCCACTCATTTGGGCGAGGCTGCCTTTTCTCAAGAGGAAGGTGCCCCTTCATGGAGCGATGCGGTCGTGGACCTTCACGAGAGACTTTTGGCAAGAGGGAAGAGGCAGCAGGAGTAGCAGGTTTACGTTTGGCTGCAGGCATTACTAGTACTACCTTGTAATGAGTGATGATGGTGGATTATTGTTGCTGGGATTATGTCGGTGGGAGGCAGGTTTGGTTTAATGGCGCCGTGAGGATACCCTGTGTGTAGTCGAATAACGTACATTTGGTTTTGTTATTGTCGTATTACCTTACCCAAATGAGATTATCTTTGGTCAATTGTTTGAAGGCGTGATCGTCAACCAAGTTTGGGTTCTACGGTTGACTATGGTGTGAGCACAACGAATTGATTGAAACGGATACCAGTTGCGAGCAGAAAACAGCAGAGGAAAGGGGTCAATTTCATGTAGAAATTAGAAATCAACAATCGCAAGAATAAAAAGGAGACGGAAGGAAGACCGCCAATGTCGACTGAGCAGACGGCCTTTGTCCCACTTGATTGTGACGATTGACAAGCATTTATTCTCGAGTACTGAGGCATTGTGATCCCAACTCAATTGAACATAGAATTCACTGAGAACAATGAGATAAAACTCTTGAAGCAAACGCAGTTTAGGCTAAAAGACGTTGGCAAACGGACGGAATCAAACGCAGCCAGACGAAGTGGGTGGGGGTGCTCGGTGAGGCCCGCTCACCGAGAATATCACGACTGCAACGTCGTTTTTCCAAGGGCTGCCTTTTGTGCGCTCCTAGTCCTTCGCCAACCTGAAGAGAATTTCACCAGAATATTATTGACGTCACTAGGGCAACGAATTCAAGAATCGGGTGCGACGGGCTCAGGTCCCCTGAAGGGACCGCTGCGTTTGGTGCCTTAGGGTGCCGGAGCGTTGGCATCTCAACTTCACTTCACCCCGATTAGGAAATCCTCAGCTCACCCGCCCCACTCTACCGCCTCAGGCACGTGACCGACCTGCCCTCGTCGTCCGGTCAGTCTATTCAGTCTCGTCTCCCGACTTGGTTTTTGAAAAAAACCTCTTCCTCTTCCCTTCTTCGCCAACGTTGAGTCGAGATACCTTCCCACATTCGTCGCTTTTTAGCAGCCTTTCATCGCTTTTTAGCACGAACTCATCTCAACATCAACGAAAGCTCCTCCTTTTCGTCTTACGACGTTACTTTACTTTACCCATATTTCTCTAACCAAAGATTCCACACTCTACTCACCATCATGGTCACTGAAATCTTCATCGACAAGGCCAACCTGGTTCTGCAGGCGGCCGCCAATCATCCGTATCTTGCGGTTCTGGTCTACCTGGCAGTCATGGCAATCTCTCGGGTCTGGCACTCTGCCAGATTCGCCGAATGCTGGTACCAGTTGACTGGTGGACTGCTTGGTCGGATGTTGGTGGACGTCGCCAGCGTTGTCGCCTGGCCCATGAAGCTTATCATTGCCTACATGGCTCTATTCTGGCGGATGTTGATCTCTTTTGGTTATGAGATGCCAACGGATTCGGCCCAGTGCCAATTCGCAAAGCCCGGGACTTCTGGACCCCGGCCTGGTACCCTCTTCGACGGACTCCCCTAGCAAGGGAGCTCGACGAACGAGGGCCCAGTTATGTGAGCCTCCTCTCCTTCTACTCTCAAGTGTATTGCAGATTGCTAATCCAGCTGTCAGGCCCCCCGGTCCACCGCCTCCAGAGGTGGACCAACCCAAAGACCTAGCGACGGAAGACGCGCGCCTCGTCAAGGAGGTTACTGATGCTGATACTCAGCTTCAGCAGCACTCTGTCGAGAATGCCGCCCTCATCGAGGAGATTACCAAGCTAAAGGAGAGAGCCAACTTGAAGGAGGCACAGACTGAGCAGCATTCGGCCGAGAATGCCCGCCTCACCGAGGAGGTCGCCAGCCTGCAGGAGAAGCTCCGGAACTACGAGAAGACCGTGAGGTTGATGGCATCTTTCAAGACGAAGGTTGCAAGTGTCCCTCAGCCCCGACTCCTCCGCCCTGGTAACTACAAAAGCATACCAAAGGCCAATCAATACGGCATATACCACGTGAGCGAAGGGAAAGTCCTCCAACCTCCCGACGATGCTGCCAAGAAGCAATTATCGCTGAGCAAAATCGTCACCGTTGCCGACACCACCCCCGTAATCGCTCCTCCTGTTATCTCCAACAACGCTCCGGTCAATATTGCTCCTGTACTCTCGTATAGCAGCATCTTGATCGTCGCTGACACCGCCCCCATCATCGCAACTCCCGTTCTTTCCTGCACCGGAATCCTTACTGTCACGGATGATGCTCCCGTCAACGTCGCTCCTCGGCTATCTCTTACCAACGTCTTCACCGTCACCGATAACGCCCCGACCAATGTCGTTGCCATTCCTTCTCCTACTAGAGTTCTCCCCGTCACCGACAACGCACCCATTGCCACCATTGAGCCCACGATGCCTGCTTCAGGTGTGGTGTCTATCGACGAAGATAGTGCTCGCAAGGACGAACTGAATGACCACGTTCATGAGGAGGCGCAAGACGAGGGCGAGACCGAGAAAGAAGAGATTCAGGTCACGAAGTCTGACGAGAAGAATGAGGTTGAGAAAGAGCAAGAGCACGAGGACGAGAACAAGACCGACGGCGAGGATGAGCGAGACCAAGACGCAAAGAAGGACGACGACGGTGACGACGACGACAAGGACGATCACCACGATCTGAGCGGCGGCGGAGCAGTCTTGATGCTCCCCGATCATTCCCTGTCTGCATCTTCCATACCCGCGCCTCAAGAACAGCCCACGACTCCTGATACCAATGTCCTGGAACAAGTCCATACTCCCTCAACCGAGTTGCCTGTTCCCGCTCTCCCTACTCTAGCACTCAAATCGCCTGCCACACACAAGCGCAGACTGAGTGACCCCGAGGAGCCACAGAGATCCGGCCATGGACCTGCCTCTCGTCCAATCCCTACGGAATTCTCAACCTTGCCGTCTATCTCTTCAAGTGCTACAGTTGCGTCTGCCCTCGTTACTGCACAGCTTCCTACGTTCGGAAATGCGACTGGCTCTTCAGCTACAATTGCCCCGAACGCACAGGTTAACGACAATGAGGCGATGGAGGTTGTTCAAACCCAGCCTAGCGACAAGACCGAGGGATCTGAGAAAGACAATGGCTATTTGATGGACGGCGTTGTTGGTGAGCCCACCGTGGCAGTCGAAAGAGTCGCCGAAACTCATGACGGATCTATGGACGGTGTCATTCAGCAAGCACCTCCTGTCGCTATTGTTCGAACCAACCATGTCCATGGAGACGCCATGGAAGTTATCGAGGTTGAGACGAATCAAGATGCAAGAAACATGATGGAAGGTGTTACACAATTCGAGACCACAACGAGAGAGGACCAGGAGATGGCCGATGACATCGGATCAGCCCAAGACTTCAATATGCATCAATACACCGACTGCGATATGCACGACAACTTCTCTAGCGTCACTCCTGCCGTCGAGATCGTGGATACGGACATGCAGAATGATCCATGCTTCACTTACACACCTCGCCAGCCCGCGACGCAAGTCGCCATCGACCGTGAAATAGAGATGGACATTCTAGAGGATCTTCGACCCGAGTTGCCGGCCACTCCAGGCGAATTCGGTCCAATCGATCAGATCTTTGAAGAAACCTTCGTTGAAGCCGGCCCTTCTTCACCGCCGTTGATTTTGTCACCGACAATTCCAGACGAGTTTTATGCCCATCCTCCACCGATGCCTCTCAGGGTGCCATCTCCAGACCCCTTGGATGACCTCTACTCCCTCCCTCCTTCAACCCCTCCCAGGTCGCCATCCCCGGACCTGTTGGACGACATTTACTCCCCCCCTCCGCCATCTCCTCGCAGGTCTGCTCTTCCCTCGCCCCCCATCGCTCCTGTCCACGAGCAGAACAACCAGACGCAAACTCCGACGGGAACAGAGTCAGTGGCAGAGCCCGCTGACCGCGTTAGCGAGGAAACTACCAAGCAACATGAGCAAACACGTACGGGGACGAGAACAGAAGCCTCAACAAGACCACGGGCAACTCAGCAGCATTCGTACACGCTGACATTGCCGCTTCAAACTTCTGCATCGCGTCATTCACCAATTACGCCCATGACCCCGACCCCCAATACACAATCAGCGACTGGCGGTTCATCATCGGTCTCGCCTCGAAGAATAATCCGCAAAGGCCCACGCCCAGATCCCTTACGCCCCTTGCGAACAACAAAGCCGTCGTCTCAGACTCAGAAATCCAAGGATACGGGCTGCGCCAAATTGGGACCAGACGGACAGGTAATCCGCTCCCCTGCCGCGAGACCCCCCGAAGACCCCAAGACCCCAACGTCAGTCAAAGTTCTCGCACCCAAACGTAACGGCTCGGCGGCAGACCCAAAAGAGGCTTCCCCAGACGCACCGCGCATCTCGATCTTCTCGATCTCTGACCCAATGCCCGCACCGGCTTCGACCCCCCAGCAGCCGTCACAGGCAACTCGCTACTCAAGCAACAGAGCCCAGGCAAAGGAGAAGAGGAACCAAGAGGAAGCCGTACAGACTGGTGATACCCCCGTGCCGAGCTGGTTCTCGCGGCCCCGGCAGATTCTGCCTCTTCCCAGAAGCAACAGAGCAAACAGGTCCGCAGAGGACATCGCAACCCATCAACAGAGTGTGTACACGACCAGGCGCGAGTTGGAGCAGGAAGTTGAGGCGTCCGAAATCCAAGAAGCGACCGGTGGCGAAGATGGCCACCGGGATCGAATTGTTCGGGTCGTCGAGAGGGCCGAACAGAACCAGTCCGAGAGCGTCTTCACGTACGCAGGGCACGCAACCAGAGAAGAGCGCCTGGCTGTCCTCCGTCTACTGATCGACATTCTAAGGCGTCAGAATCAGGATACTGGGGCCGCCAGGAAGTTCAGGAATTGGGGGGGAGAGAGGCGACTCAAGCTCTTGTCTAAGGAGAGGTGGCAGGAATTGCCCGGCGCCCCGGAAGATCAGAAGACTTTCCTCACCAGAGAACAGGTGAACGATCTTCTGGGGCATTGGATGAGGTACCTCCTTGAAGGACTTGTCCAACAGGGTATCGTGTACGCAGATGAGATGGAGGGAATTTTGAGGGAATGGATGAGGATGGTGGAGGAAGAAAGGCGGTCTCAACGGCAATGAGTCAATACGCTCCACTCAAGATGAAGAGAACGGGGAGAGACGACGGGAACACGAAGAAAAGAGATGAAAGAAAACAAAAACCGCGAAAACACACGAAAACACACGAAAATCAAACAAAACGAGAAATAAAAAAACAAGGCTACGGAGAGTGGGGAGAGTCATTGGAAGGAGAATCTGGCCACCAGCAAAGCTTGTTGTTTGAGTATGGATGTTTCATTTCTTTGTTAGATTACCTGTTCTTCAGCTTCGTCCATCCATTCGTTCCACCACCTGTCCGATTCTGCGCACTTTCGGTATCGTCCAGGGCCCAGGCATCATCCTCCAAAACCTCCCATTCCGGCACTGCCACCTCACTCAGAAGCTTCTTCTTCAGCTTATCGGCAAGCTTCAAGGGGCTGGGAAGCTTGAAGCTGCGGATGAAATCGGAACCCTCCGCGCCTCCGAGGAACGTGTGAGTTGTGCCATGGGAATAGCGTCCCATCCAAGACGACGCCTTTCCGATTTCTTCTTGCTCTGGATTGTCGTGCTTTGTTGCGGGCGACGAAGACACCGGAGGGTAGATGCGACCTGTCTGAGTACTATGCAGCTGTTGGCCGATGAGCAGATTGTACAAGTTGCGACCCATGTGGCAGACGTCGTCGAACGAGTTGCGATCACCGACAGAGACACCCTGTGTGGAGCAGGCCCAGGCGATGTCGTATGCAAGCAGGGTGACGCCCTCGAGGAAGAGCGAATGCGTGACGGAGTCTTCTTTTGCGAGAGTGGGAAGGGCTTTATCGACATAAAGTGGCCGAGGTCGCGGGACATAATGAGGCTGGCTGTCTCGATCATCTGAGGTTAGGTTGGGGATGACAGAGGAACCAGGAAATGGGACATCGCCGTGCTGATAGGAGGAAGCGAGGTTGAAGATCGTGGGACGAGGATAGTCCCGATGCGGAAGAGTGATCTCTGCGGGCAGGCGGATCGAGAGATAATGCGACGTCAGTACGACAATATGGGCCAGGTTGGCAAGTGATGTGGACAATGTCTCGGGAGACACGGCTGGCAGGGTCAGTGAGAAACTCACAGCATGTATCCAGTTGAAGCAGCTTACCATTCATAGATGAAAGATCTATGACATCAACCCCACCAATCTTATACTCATATCGAGCTGAGGACCCTTTCTTGATTCGGCGAAGTCCATACAACTTGGCAGCCTCCATGCACAGAAAGGCTCGAGTAGTCGCCATGTTATCGGCGCTGCGGTTCCATTTGTACTTGGTTACCGAGATCGAGCGCTCAGTCTCATCCAACTGTCTGGATCTCCGGGCCTCAGTACCATCAGAGGCAGATGTCAGATCCGACTTGCGGCGCGACAAAGCAGCTTTTCGGTCAGCGATTTCCTTCTTGGCAGCAGCGATTTCCCGCTTCAGCTTGTCGGCTTGCGCGATGATCTGAGCGGTCCTGTCCTCGGCTTTCTTCTGGTCAGATACTGAGGCTTCAATAGCGACGGCGGAAGTTGAAGAGCTAGCCGGGCCAGTCTGGGCCAGCAAGTCGTTGATCTGCTGCTGGAGAGACTCATTCTCCATCAACGCCTGAAGATTCCTCATACGGCCTTCATAGCAGCGGTTGCGCGCATCGACAGCGCAGAGAAAGGGCCGCTGCTGGGGATGATGCGGTCTTTGGCAAATGTCGCAGTTCATCTTGGCGGCATGCGGCGAGTCAAAGTTCGAAGAGATGCGAGGAGACGGCGAGTTTCAAAACGATCAGGGAGCGGCATGGGCAGAAAGTCGCAACGGCAATGACGTGGAGAATTTGACTTTCTGGCGGATGAGGTTGAGTTGAGTCCAGGACGTTCGGAGGGAGACTGCGATGTGAAATACGCAGTTCCCAGATCGAAGTCGCAGTGAGTCGGTGGGAGTGTTCAGGCGATCTGACTGGGCAGGTCCTGTTCGAAGATATCGAGTCACGAGGGCGAGGTCGGGTGAGAGGCGGCGTTGAAAGGAAGCCAGCCAAGAAAGGAAACAATCGAGGGCCGTGGTCGCGGCGGCACTCCGGGCAGGCAGCAGGGGGGTCCCCAACCCATTTGAATCCCTGCGGCGCGCCACAGCGGTGCTGTGGCCAATCAACGCCACACTTGCCTGAACAGGCCTTGGCGGTCGCAGCGCAGCAATGGAGTGAGGCAAGCACCACTCTCGACCGCCTTCCGGGGTTGAGGTCCAGTCCAGTGAAGCGGTCGGTCCAGTGTCGCTGTCAGTTCTGAACTTCCGACTTTCTCCACTAAGCCCAACAGCGAACACTCAGGTACTACACCACCAACACTCCCTTTGTGGTGACCAAGAACGACGTTTTGAAAGGAGAAAAAACACAAAGCTTTATTCGGGCTCGGCCTCAGAGTACTATCGTTTAACACGAAACATCAAAGAAGATGGCCGAGGACGCGAACGGATCACAGAGACCCAAGTCTCTTCAGAGCACCAAGACGCCTGAGCCGCGGGTCGACCAACCGGCAACCAACGGCCACGACAACATCTCGCCAGGCACGCCCGGTCCTTTTCCTGATTTCGACTGGGAAGAATTTGAGGCCCGGTACGAGAAGGCGCTCGCGGACGCTGATGAGAAAGAGCGAGAGCTGTTGGAGCAGTTTGAGGGCCTTGTCAAGGTGCGACTGCCCGCACAAACCATTGCAGAGCCCAACTGACCATGCATCTAGTACTTCAATATCTGGGCTTCAACTTCCAGCGCCCATGACAATGAGCGTGCAGTCAAGCGCCTACGCACAAGACAGAGATACGTCAACATGCAAGAGCAGAATATGGCTCAAAAGCAGGAGCACAGTGAGTCCCCATCCTTGCATCTTCCCATTCAACGCGTCCGACTCACACTGTGTCAGTGAGGGAGGTTCTGCGGGCATTTCAGAGTGCACTTGCCCTGCTGAGCCGGAACTAAGATTTGGCCGGGGAGATGGGGTCCTAGGTGACGGATCGAGATGTCCAAGAGGTCCTACACTTATGCAGAGAATTGCATGGTTTTTGGCAGCAGATGCACTTGGTCGCGTCCACTCCTCGTTGCTTCCAGCGTGACGAGGTAAGGTCTCCACACGTGATCCAAGCTCGCGGACGCGCCTGGCCCACTACATGTCTTTGGCCTCATTCCGTCGCCTTTCAATTTCTTTTCTTTTCTTACTTTCAACAAACCCACAAACGACCCCAAGTTTCATCGCCGCATCATTCTAGTCGCTCATCATGGCCGCGGTCGAATCGGGTCAAGGCCGGGCCCATCTCGCCGTTCCAAACATCAGCAACGTGAGTTTAAACGCGCCAACCTGCCCCGTTCTTCATACTGACATTTGCCAGGACGAGCTGACGTCGTTCTTTGAGTCGCACTTCTCTGACGCAGCTTTGCAAGGGTTCAAAAGCGAATTTTTCAGCCCAGAGAAGCATGCAGGCGATGAAAACGCCGCATACGACGACGAAGAGTACTACGAGGAAGAAGATGACGGACTTGGGTACTACCCGGATGGCGTCAAGCGCACGCTCACCGATGAGCAAATCGCCATGTTCCGCCATTCTGAAATTGAAGCTCTACGAAAAGAGAAGGAAAAGGCTGCAGAGTGTCGCCCTGCAGCCTCGCAAGCAGATCTTGAAGCTGGCGAGGTCGGCGACAATGACAGCGCCAAGGAGGCCGCGACACCTCAACCACCCAAACCAAAGAACAAGAAGAAGCGAAAAGCAGGCAAGAACAAGAACCATGAACCCAAGCCTGACCTACGAAAAAGAACTTGGGACGTTGTCGAAGCCGGTCTTGACTCTCTTGACTACGACTGAGGCCAACTCGGCAACATCGCAAAATAATTCAAAATAGCACTCAGGATCTGGCTGTTGCCGGGAAGAAACACGGGCCGCACACACGCTCATGGACCTCTGATGCACGCCGATATTCCTTCCGGGCACGCCTGCAGCACTGCAAGTTCGACTCGAAACCCGACGTTCAGAGCAGCTGAAACCATCAACCGCGGGCTTGATTACATGCAAGAAACTCATGAACACGACGTGAGTCCAATCGTTCTACATCTGGAGCAGATGAAAAAGAGGTATGTCGCCGCTTTTTCTTCACGTTTGATCACGCATGCAATGATGAAAACTTCGTATCGTCATCCTTAGTCGGAACCCAAGCTCCGGGTAGACGACGGCAGTTGACTTTAGTCGACAGCCTGAGCCTTTGAGAGCTAGGACATGTCGAGCAATAATCTTCTCTCTGAGCATGCCTTGAAGTTTTCCGGAATCTTGTTCATGGTCTCTTGATATCAGATGCTTACTGCCTGGGACAGATTGCGAAGCAAAATTGCCAGGACATGATCGTTATTGACGTGAGGACTCATGCATCATTGCACAGGGGATACAGGGAAGACTTTGTGAAATAGATTGCATCAGGGGTTGAACAGTGGTCATGTACACATGACGCGAGATGCGAGATGCATCCACATAGAATGTTAGGAGCCAGGCAAAAGGGCTGCCTACCTGCCCCAAAACGAATGGATCTGACCAAGGGATTTGACATATGTTTTTCGAATGCATGCAATGTGACGCGTTTGCCTGTTCTTTTGTGATGCTCATCTTCTGCAACGGCCAAGGAAATATGGTATGGAGCTCCCGTGGCAACAAAGTCCTTTGTTCTCGAAGATGTGCCTGACACAGTCTCACCCAGACAACTGCGTCTGGAATTCGATGCAGCCTCGGGATGGCATTCTACTAGAAGCAGCAGCAGCAGCAATGCTGGAACAGCGGCAGCTGGCTGCATCGAGATTGGACGGTGGGGTGTGCACGGATCAGGCGAGCTTATCGGGCGGTCTGGACGATAAGCCTGCAGTGGACTGTCAGGCGCGTTAGGGGCCCGGCTCGGTCGGCGGCCAATCAGGCGGTGCTCTGAGGATGGACCGCTAAGCCTGATTTTAGACATCCCACCTTGATTTACTCCCTGCCCCGTTCCCTCCCACACTGCACCACTCATTCCCAGAGTCCCAGGTCCACGTCCACCACGCTTGTGTCTGGCGACCGTCCAACCTCAGCCACGACCCAGACCCCTCCTTGTCTGCCCGCCTCCGCCGCAAAATCCAACCTACCTACCTTACGACAACATCATCACCATCTTCTACCAGTCCCGCGCGCGAACGCCGCAACGGTAGCCCAACATGGCGCGGGTGTACGCAGACGTGAACCAGAACATGCCCCGCAGTTACTGGGACTACGACAGTGTGAACATCAGTAGGTTTTCCCTTCGCCGGGTAGCACTGCGCCTCGGCCGAGTCCCTTGCAGCTCTCGCCAGAGCTTACAGCCGCTCGGTTTCCCTCCCATCCGGGTCGCGATCGCTGACAACGTCGACCTACAGGCTGGGGCGTGCTCGAGAACTACGAGGTGGTTAGGAAAATTGGTACGTTTTTTGCACTCTGTTGGGGGTGGTGGTCCCCGCGCGCCTGCGCGCATGCGCAATCCCGCATACTTTTTTCGCGCGAGTCGAGTTCGAGGCAATATCGTGCGAGGCTGACGATCGGTTGCAACAATACAGGTCGTGGAAAATACTCGGAGGTCTTTGAGGGCATCAACGTCGTCAACTACCAGAAATGCGTCATCAAGGTCCTCAAGCCCGTTAAGAAGAAGAAGATCAAGCGTGAGATCAAGATTCTGCAAAACTTGGCTGGAGGCCCCAATGTTGTCGCGCTGTTAGACGTGGTTAGAGATTCGCAGGTAAGCTGGGACTTTTGTTGATGCTATTCGGACGACGGGTGTTCGGGAAGCAATGGCTGACCTTTTTCTCCTTGCAGAGCAAGACGCCCTCTCTGATCTTCGAGCACGTCAACAACACCGATTTCCGAAGCCTGTACCCCAAGTTTAACGACCTTGACGTTCGGTACTACATCAACGAGCTTCTGAAGGCTTTGGACTTCTGTCACAGCAAGGGCATCATGCACCGCGACGTCAAGCCTCACAACGTTATGATCGATCACGAGAATAGGAAGGCACGTGGAGTCTGCGCAGAAAGCTGAGGCTGGGGATACAGACTAACCGTGATGCAGTTGCGGCTCATCGATTGGGGTCTGGCCGAGTTCTATCACCAAGGGACAGAATACAACGTTCGCGTTGCCTCTCGATACTTCAAGGGCCCTGAGCTGTTGGTCGACTTCCAAGAGTACGACTACAGTCTTGACATGTGGAGTCTGGGTGCTATGTTTGCGTCCATGATCTTCCGCAAGGAGCCATTCTTCCACGGTAACAGCAATTCGGATCAGCTTGTCAAGATCGCCAAGGTGCTTGGCACGGATGATCTCTTTGACTACCTTGACAAGTACGAGATCGAACTTGACGCGCAATACGACGACATTCTGGGTAGGTTCCAGAAGAAGCCGTGGCACTCATTCGTTACCGCCGAGAACCAGCGATTTGTCTCTAACGAAGCAATCGACTTCTTGGACAAGCTTTTGAGATACGACCACCAGGTATGTTTCGCGACCGTCACACGGCCAGCACAAGCTGACATGTCCATAGGAACGTTTGACGGCAAAGGAAGCCCAGGCGCACCCGTATTTCAACCCGGTTAGAGACCCCGAGGTTTTCAAGCAGAACTTGGCCCAGCAGAGCGCCTCCGGCGTTTCTAGCAACTGAACCTAGACCATTATTCTGCCCAGACTGAGAATTGACCCACGACTCTCGTGATGCCCTCGACCACACCCGCTTCGGTTCTGCTATGAGCCGGCACCCGTTAGCGGATCAGCGAGGACTCCCTCCCACTGGCAGCCCGCCCTGTCAACTAGACTCAACCCGTATCCTCTCAATACGACTTTAACCTTATCTTTGGACAAAGCATGAAACACAAACCTACCTACTTCCCCTCACGAAACGGAATGACTCTCAAGACCGGTATCAATCTATTTTTTCGGGCGATGACACAGATGGTGGTATACAGAGAAACAAAGGCGTAAACCTCAATGCAGGCGGGAGGATTGAAGGGATTCGCACAGCGGCGGAGGAAAGCAAGGGACAGGGGACGGAGAATTTGAGATGCCCAAAGGACCGGCGAGGTATCTTCACTACATGGAGGGGAAAGGCGTTTCACGAGGTTGATTGCCCCCTGTTTCGTTCGAAATGCCCCCCTTCAACGGTTCCTTTCTGTCCATGAATCTGTGCGGAAAGCTTTGCATAAGTGGTTTCATCATGATTTTCTTTTCTTCTCTACTGGTATTCGTCTTGATGTAGCGACTAATGAGGAAGCGTATCTTTTGCTTCCAGATCCCCCATGCACATTTGATCCGCCATGCCGCTGCAACGGATACCAAAACTCCATGCTAAAGCGCCCTTCACCTCGTCATCTACAGACACGTAAAGCAGAAATCCCTGTCGCATTTGAATCCATCCTCTCCGCACCGCCTCATATGTCCACCGGGCGTCTTGACAAGCGAGCCGGATGGACTGCCGAATTGCACCTTTGTCGGTGTCACAGCAAAGGCCCACGCCGCCTTGCGCTTCTTGCCCCTTTCTGTTCCCCCGCCGCTTCCGACATTGTGGCTGCGCTGCTTCATGGGCGTCGTGATCTTGGTTTGCGGGCCGGCGAGTAGCACTGGCGCGAAGGACGTCTTCTTGCGGCCGCTAGAGCCCGGGGCGGAGCCGCCGCTGGTGTTTGTCCAGGACTTGAAGAGGTCGAGGGTGAGTTCGTCCTCGTCGTCTGAGAGGAGGGAGATGAAGGAGCGGCGGGCGGAAGGGGTGCGTGGAGAGGCTTTTACGGTTGAGGAAGAGGGGACGGCGGGGAGAGAGGGCTGTTCGTGGTGGTGAGTGGTGGCTGCCGCGGGGGAGGATGGCTTCTTGTTGAATTTGACTGATTTGCGTGGTTTGAGGGCGTTTGAAGCGCGGCGTTTGAGGGGGCTGCTTGAGTTGAGGTTGAGGGTTCGCATCGGGGATGTCGCGCCGTTTTCTGGGACTGCGTTGGACTTTTTGGGACGGCCAGGTTCTGAACGGGGCGGGTTTGATGCTGGGTTATGGGTTGGGAAGGGGAGAGCTGGCAGTTCGATGTCTACTGACTCTGGCTCAGGTTCAGCCTCGGGCTCCGTTGCGCTTTCTGCGCCGATGTCGTCCAAGAGGGGAACGGAGAAGCCTTCTTCTTGATTGTCTTGACTGTCTGGGAGATGTGCGTCTTCGGGAATGGCGATGGGTGCGTTGATTGGACTGGATGATGCTTCGGCCGTGTCTGCCACCTCGGGCTCCTCTGTCTCGACGTCTGGTAGAATTGTATCTTCCTCGTCAGGTTCTGCAACGGACCGCTGCTCCATTGTGGTGGGATCCTCGGTGCTTTCTCTCGGAGAACTCTGTTCTCCCATGTTGGGGAGCTCTTCCGGGGCCTCAGCGGGAGCTTTCGGCGTTTCCGGCTGCGGAGCGTCGAGGTCCATACCATCGAGCTTGTCTGCGAGGGGAGTTGCCGGTGAAGTCTGGATCTGGTCTTCACCATCTTCCTCCTCCTCCTCCTCCTCCTCGTTGGCTATCGTTGTCTCTGCATCATTTAATGGCACCTTAGACGTAGAAGCCACATATTCGACATTATTTGGAACTGGGGCATTCGTATTTCCGCTAGGGGAGGCTGGAGCAGGTTTTTGAATCTTCGTTGGAACTCGCGCAGTAGGAATGCCTTCCTCATCGTCCGAGAAGTCGTAGGAAGGGTCGATTTGATGTCTGACGAATTTCTCTTTTGGTGGCTCGGGGGCTTTGCTGGGTTGGGTTTCAGTGGTCTCGGAGGGTCTCGCTACGGAACCGCCGTCTGTCTCAGGCATAATTGTATCCGTTT